TGTTATTAAATCTAAATTAAATTATAATAAAAAATTAAATTAAAGAAATTACACTGAAAATGAGAACTATTATATAGTTAATTTAATACTAATACTAATATTCATATATTCTTTTTCAAATTTAGATTTCATTCAAAAATAAAAATATTATCGTTTTTTAAAAACCACATAAAACCGTTATCATATTGATAGAGAAAATGAATAAAATAAAACATTAAAATCGAGATATATCTCGCGACATTGCACGAGTACCCTTATAGTGTGTGTGTGTGTATGTGTGTATATATATATATATATATGTATATAAGTAGGTTCATACAAGATGATACATATTTAGGTAACAAAAGAGAATGATCAAATTACATCTAAAATTACATGTAATTTGATATTAACAACCAAAAAAGTACGCAGACGACTCTATGACGGCTTGAATCACATGTAATTTTGTACATGATGTTAGTGTAAAATCATATATGATTCGGTCGTTCTCTTATTTTATTAAATATGTATCATATTTTATTATATAGGTATCATTAGATATATAATAAAATGATAAATAAAAACAAAAATAATAAAATATATATTTTTGATGGAATCAAATTACATAGTAGTCAAATAGCAAAGCCCAAACACAATCTTCAAGAAATTTCCTTTTGTATGCTTCTTAATATGATATTATTAACATTTTAATTATTATTACTAAAATTGATAATAATTATGTTTACTATGCGATTGAAAGCTATTATTCACTAATACAAGTTTCTGTAAGGTTCAAATTCAAGGAAGAATAAGAATCCTCTTGTGGCCACAGATGTTTAAATACGGTGACTCTGGGCTATCTGTAAAACAGGTGGTCGTCCTAAAATTAGTCGGCTCGCATAACGGGTTGGATATCCAGGTTAATAAAAAAAAGTTTCTTTTACATATTTTTGGAATTTATCTTTCAATTTAAAACAAATCAATATAACTTAATTTATTGAATTACATAAATGTTAAATTTCAAGATTCTTTCAGATTTTGTTTGTAAGTGAGTTTAAATTTAACTTTACTAAAAGTTAGACACACGGGATCTTGATCCCTTTTCTTAACGTATTTTGTTTCAAACAAATGATATTATTGTTAATGAACTCACATCATAAAAAATACTGATTTTATGACGAGGCAAATAAAAAATCATTTCATTCAGGTGGCATTTGATACGACCGAATTTGAAAGCGCCAATGATTAATAATATCTAATTATATCAGTCACTAATATGTAGGTTAAGGGGGTGTGTGAGATTGCTTATTTGAACAACTTATGCTTTTCTACAAAAGTGCTTATCAACTTATTACAAGTTAAAATGATTTAACTTTTTCAAAAACTCCTTATTACCGGTTTGACACCGGTATAAGTTGTTTATCCAAACACTCAAAAGTGCTTATTACCGGTGCCACACCGAAATAAGTCAATGAGTTGTTTTCATAAGCAATTTCAAACACCCAAATATTTAGGTTATGTTTGGTAAATCAAATCATACAATAGTTGTTAGCTGACAAATTAGTTGTTGACGAGTAAGATAGTTATTATCTGATAAATTATCTTGACAATATGAAAAAGAATAGTAGAAAAATTGCTTAATTCTAATGTAAGAGGTATAATCCAAGAAACATCTTTAGAGCTTATTATAAAAACTATCTAAAAATATATATTTAATATTAAAGAGATAATATAGTTTAATAAAAATAAAAATAAGATGTTTCTATCTCAGATTTTTTTGTATTTATCAGTTAGTTATATGAACAGTTTTTAAAATTTTAGATGCTTTAGAAAATAAAAATAAATGTTACAGTATCGTCTGTATAGTATTTATTATGTTTATCTGCAGTTATATACACAATTTCAAACATGAAGTTTTTATAAGCTGTACTTATACTTACTCAACTTATAATCTTGAATTTTAAGTAATATTAATTAATAAATGATAGTTGATACATAAAAAAATAGCTTTTAAGAGTTTTTTCTAAATGCTTTATAATATAATATAATATACAAAGAGGGATGTTCAAACGATAATATTATCTAATTAATGTCTTTATTTAAGATATTTTTACAATTTTCATGATTTAAGCATGATTAATTTTTCATTGAATTTTATTTTATGACATTTAAAATATTTATTTTTATTGAAATAGTTTATATAATTTTTTTTTACAATTTTAGTCAAAAATCATATATGATATCTACAATCAATCGACGTTTTTTTGCAAAAAATGTCACTAATTTTTTCGTAAAAATATTAAATGCGATATTGATCATAGTAAATTTAAGTGAAAAAGAAATATAAGTTATTTACAACATCACATATGATATTTGTAAATTATGAATTACATTTCAAATCTGATCTTATACATATTAAATGTGTTCTGCTACATATCACTCATTATTCATTTTTTAAATACCTTAAATAATTCTTATATAAATAATTAAATTTTATTTCTTTATTTATTCATTTTTTAAAGTTTTTTATTAAAATATTATTCAATTAATTTATATTTATTATTTTATTTTCTTATTTAATTATTTTTTTCGTTTGAACCGAATTGATTATATAAATTTGGTTAAAATTTAATAGTTGTAATATTAATTTAATAAATATTATGAAATTAAATAATTCATGAGAGGTAGACTACGAAAGGTATTTCTTCACCGGTCATTTTGGACCGTGTAACCCACCAGTTACCAAACCAACAACCCCCTCTCTCTCCTGGTTCGTTTTGAAAATTAAAACTATACATACAAAATATATATGTATATGCCAAATCACTGAACTCAGCTCATTTCTCTTATATATATACCACACCCATTTGTATCCTCACACCTCACTGCTCGTCTAAAAAAAACCGCTCACATATTTGACGTGTTTCAACAAATTCTTACATACTCAGGTAAACCCACACTTCAATTCTATCCATCTCTGTGTTTTAGATTCAAATTCTTCGCTAATGTCCTGAAACTTGATAAAAGATCTGGTATTTGTTGTGTTTTGCGTCCATTTGATTCAACTCATTTTATGGTTTTACGATACGAGATTCAATTATTTTGTCTTCTCGATGCTTCCAAAGAGTGTATCGTGTGATTCGTTTGTTTTATAGAGCAATTCATGGTTTTTGAATTTTTTTTTACTTAAGTTTGATCCACAGATCTGGTTTTTGCTGTAGAATTTGGTAGGGTTTTTTTGTTTTATGATCGACATTGGTTGTTTTCCGACCACAAGATGAGGATCATTTTTGCTTGCAAACTGAATCAAACTTATAGCTTTATCATGATCTGGTTTGGTGATGGCTCAGAGTTAGGATCCACTTGAAACTCGGTTTTATTGGTTAAAAATCAGAAGAATGTTATGTACCAGCTGCTTTACAGCTTGTACCTTGTTTGATTGCTGCTAAAAACATCTGTATAACATCTAGGTTATACTTCACCCTCCTTCATGTGCTTATATTTTACTATATCAATGCTATATAAGTTTTGCAGTACGTAACAGCATTGTTCACAACTTATCTATATTAGTTGATTTTACACTACAACTATTGAATGTATCTTTAGTTGTTATTACAAACATTTATAGCATACAACACCCAGTGGTGGGGCAATTAGCATTTGTCAAGTTATGAAGATGGAAGAAAAGGGTACTACTGTAATGCATGCCACTGTACCCCATAATGTAGCATGAATTTATGGGGATTTACTTCCAAGATAAGGACAGGTTCTATGCCTTTATGAGTTCCACTTAACGATAATAAGAGACTCTGTGTTTGATTCTTCTTTAATGTCAAATGGATTGCTTTTTGAACTTCAAAACTGACAAAATTTGTTTCATTGTAGAGAAATTAATTGATAGATTAAAGCATAACAAAATGTGTTACAACTTGTAAAAGTTTGTAACAGAAAAACTAAAAGCATCTATGTCAATCTTGAATTTAAACGATACTAGGTTTGAAATTCTGAAGTTGAGATGGATTTTGATATTAGGATGGTGTAATAATAAAACAATTCTACGACACTGCAACTCTTTCCATTTGGGACGCTCCATCAGATTTCCAAATTTCTATCTTTGGATAGTCTTCAGCTTACGATCACCTATTTCCCTCTTGTCATCATTACACAAGGTTGATGACTTCGATTTGGTGCGACAAGATACCCGTGACTTGTCATTTTCATTTTTGCAGAGTAATTTAGACATTTGATCAAAAATGAAAACATTTTTTTTAAAAGCCATATGCCTAGTCAAATGTTGCAATTTTCATGAGATGAAGGAAGCTGATATTTTGATAGGTTTTACTATATGCTTAGATGTTGAAAGTGCCACTTCAACCTGAAAAAATGTATCTTGGTAGCCCAAGATGCAAATTTGAGTACAAATTTGCCTATAAACATTATTGTTTGTGCATAAAGATCATTTGCCTCTTTATCTTTAGTTTCATAGATGCAGATTTTCTGTTGTTGCTTATGTACAGGTATTTTTGAGCGAGCCCAATGGCGACAGGGCAACTTTTCTCCCGTACGACACAAGCATTGTTCTATAACTATAAGCAATTACCAATTCAGCGAATGCTTGATTTTGACTTCCTTTGTGGTATGTGAAATTACCTACATACCCATTTCACTATGAAACTTACGGTTGCTTTTATGTTTGTAAGTTTTCAACTTCTGACTTACTTCTATGTAACCTTAAAATTGATTAGGGAGGGAAACACCTTCAGTTGCTGGAATCATCAACCCTGGTGCTGAAGGATTTCAGAAACTATTTTTTGGCCAAGAAGAGATTGCCATCCCAGTACATTCCACGTATGTCTTATTACTCCCCTCTTATCTCTGATCTTAATTTGATAATGAAACTTGAATATGCTTCAAGATAGATATGGTAATGTTGACTTTCCATGATCAACAACTAATTTTGTGAACTCAATGTTGACTTAAAAAATGTTTACTAATTTTGTGAAAACGAATTTATCACAAATGTTTACTTAAAAAGACGAACATTTCATAGTACAGAAGAGTATAGTGTATGATTCATACTTGAGACATGCCTGTTCTCTTGTTGTTATGTGATTTTACTTTCGTTTTGCAGTGTCGAAGCTGCTTGTGCCGCACATCCTACTGCTGATGTATTTATAAACTTTGCATCCTACAGAAGGTTAGTTCTAAGTTGTTTTACAGCAGTCATGAATTTCATTGGCGATTGTTTCTCACTCTGTGCCACAATGTTTCAGTTTATAGAAAGTTTTCAGGCTACTTTTATGTATTTTCCTGTTGTCATCATTACAAACCGGCAATTTTTTAAAATCCTGAAATCTGTACAGTGCTGCTGCTTCATCCAATATTGCTCTCAAACAACCCACAATCAGAGTTGTGGCTATTATAGCTGAGGGTGTTCCTGAATCCGACACCAAGGAATTGATTGCGTATGCAAGATCAAACAACAAGGTACGAGATTTTAGTTGCTAGTGTACTCTATTTACATTCTTTCTACATTTTTCAGGTCTCATCTCAATTCCCCTTCAAAGCAAGTCAATTTTAGACGGTTTAACATTTTGTAAATGTGATTGTGGTTTTGATCCCAGTTTCCCTCCACATCAAGTAAATAAATCCACAATCTAGATGGTCTAAACAAATGGAACTTGACTTTTAGCTAAGTTGGAGCAGGAATATGACTAGAAAGAAGTTTAACTCACTTGGAACATGGAGTTGAATATTAAATCTAAGATTAGCACCAATGTTTTTGCAGGTTGTTATCGGCCCTGCAACTGTTGGTGGTATTCAAGCTGGAGCTTTTAAAATTGGTGACACTGCAGGAACAATTGATAACATTATTCAATCCAAACTTTACAGGCCAGGATCTGTTGGATTCGTCTCCAAATCTGTATGTAGACATTCTTGCTGTTTCTCATTCTCCTTGAATCAAAATTCCCATTAAAAATTGATCAATAATCACGTTTTGTTGCTTTGGAAGTGATAATGGGAAACGACTTTGTGCTTGGTTAAACTGCAGGGTGGCATGTCAAATGAGTTATACAACACAATTGCGCGTGTAACAGACGGAATTTACGAAGGTAGCTAGCTATCCTTGAAATCTTTAGTTTGCATCCACTCCTGTGAAAATTGCAATAAGTTTTCCATTTTGGGATGTCTCGTTTCCTTTCTTTGAAATATCCAAGATAAAATTACCTATATACCCATAGTAATCCGTACAAACTATTGATTTTAATTGCTTCTGGTCTGCAACAATCCCTTATTTTCTCACTATTGAAAGGTATGTTAGACAATTGATTTATAAAACATATGTTGAGTTAGACGTTGCAATTTTATTCAACTATGGGAGTATGCTTTATGTGTGGACATGCATATTTAGTACTAGATGCTAAAAATATGGATTTTGTAGGTATTGCTATTGGAGGAGATGTTTTTCCCGGTTCTACTCTTTCTGATCATGTTTTGCGGTTCAACAACATTCCTCAGGTATCTGTTGAGTTAGCTATTGACATAATAGATTACTTTATTACCATCTGTTGTAATAATAGTAACATTTAAATAATGGGTATTTTTGGAACATTAAAAAATTTGTCTGCAATTTTAAGCCCTGTTGTTATCTTTGTATGTATGATGAATCCCAATTCAACATTCTTAAACTTTTATCGAATATATGCACTTCTCATTAACATTTTGTTTGGTCTAATTAAGGTGAAAATGATTGTTGTTCTGGGGGAACTTGGTGGTCGAGATGAGTACTCCTTAGTTGAAGCCCTTAAGGCCGGAAAAATAAGCAAACCAGTATGCGCTTGGGTCAGTGGAACTTGTGCTCGACTCTTCAAGTCTGAAGTTCAATTCGGGCATGCGGTGAGCTATTAACTTGTTTTCTCTTACCTTTATGATAAGGATTGAAATGGTAATTTCCTTCATCTATGCGTATATAACATTTATCTTTAAGACATTCTTGATGTTTCCTGTTAATCAGGGGGCCAAGAGTGGTGGTGAAATGGAGTCTGCACAAGCTAAAAACCAAGCACTTCAGGATGCTGGGGCCATCGTCCCGACATCATACGAAGCATTTGAAGTTTCGATCAAAGAAACATTCGAGAAGTTGGTATGCCTTGACACCCACATTGCATATTCTTCTTATTCTTTATGTTCATTCCTTGGGCAAATAACATGAAAATGCAATTTAATTGGTATTGAATAACGTACTTTCAAAATCTTTATTTGTACCTAAGATGTGATATCTAAAACATTTAGACCAAAGCATGGACCAAAGTACGTTGCATTTTCATGTATTCTTAGATGTAAACTAGCTACCTAAATGTTTGAGATGTCACATCTAAGGTGCCAAAATGAATGTTTTTAAAGTAGGTTATACAAAATAAGTATCAAACCATAGTACGTTGCATCTTCATGGAATTTCCCCCTTCTCTTTCTGCTGCATTTGTGTTTATTATGGGGTGTTTCTTAGGCTGAGGAGGGCAAGATTAGTCCCATTAAGGAGATCTCACCTCCACAAATCCCCGAGGATCTTAACACCGCAATCAAAAGTGGCAAAGTACGAGCACCAACTCACATTATTTCAACCATCTCTGATGACCGAGGTAACCCCAATGGTTGAAATGCTGATTACCCAATAGGAAAGGCACGAATGGTCAATGATTCTCTTAATCTAAATTTTCAGGTGAGGAGCCATGCTATGCTGGCGTACCAATGTCTTCAATTGTAGAAAAAGGAATGGGGATCGGTGATGTTATTTCGCTTTTATGGTTCAAACGCAGTCTTCCCCGCTACTGCACACAGTTCATCGAGGTTGGTTATTATTGAAACTTGAGGTACTTAAATTTTTTTTTTCTCGCTTTTAGCTGTAATCTCAAAACGTGCATAACCATCCACCAGATTTGCGTCATGTTATGTGCCGATCACGGGCCATGTGTATCCGGTGCTCACAACACGATTGTAACTGCAAGGGCAGGAAAAGATCTCGTATCCAGCCTTGTTTCTGGTACTTAGATTAAAGCAAATTCATAACTTGTTCAATCTGATCAGATGATCATTTCACCATATGGAGTGATTGATTTTCTGAAACAGGTTTGCTGACTATTGGTCCTCGTTTTGGTGGTGCCGTTGATGATGCTGCTCGCTACTTCAAGGATGCTTATGATAGGGTGAGTTCACGTGTCGTTATTCATTATGAATTTATGGAGTACTTTTTCCTTTATTCCGAGTTCATGTTTTTAGGATCTTGAATCTTTTTGAGATCTCTTTTTTGTATTTGCAGAAACTTTCACCATATGAGTTTGTTGAAAGTATGAAAAAGAAGGGTATTCGCGTTCCGGGTATTGGTCACAGGTATGTTATTCATACGTTTCATCCGTATTTCCTTAGGGTGTGTTTGGTATGCAGTACAAAAACTTATTGTCCCATGTCAAATTAAAACCCTGAAACCTTTCACAATTCTTTCATCCGCCTACTTCACTCTCGTCCTGCCAGTCTGGTCCGGTCTTGTTTGAAGCAAATTGTAAGGCTAAAATTAACATGTTTTTGCTTACGTGTTGTTAAAAAGGATCAAGAGAGGTGATAACCGAGACAAGAGAGTCGAGCTGCTACAACTATTTGCTCGCACCAATTTCCCATCAACCAAGTACATGGAATATGCGGTTGAAGTAGAAACTTACACTCTCTCAAAGGCAAACAACTTAGTAATGAACGTCGATGGTGCCATTGGTACCCTTTTCTTGGATCTTCTCGCTGGTAGCGGAATGTTCACGAAACAAGAAATCGATGAAATTGTAGGGATTGGTTACCTTAACGGGCTCTTTGTGTTAGCCCGTTCCATTGGTCTGATCGGGTGAGTTGATTAAATTTTTAACTAACTAGTTTTTAAGTCAGACGACATGATAATGATGGTGTGATTGTTTGAAATATGTTTTGTAGGCATACGTTCGATCAGAAGAGATTGAAGCAGCCGCTATACCGTCACCCATGGGAAGACGTTCTTTACACCAAGTAATTCGTGTTGTTGTTTGTTTGTTTGTATCATTTAATTAGCATGGTTCGATCGGAGTGGAGTCTTGTTTCGGAACTTTAGAAATGAAATAACAAGATCGTGTTGTTGGTTCTCTTTGTACTAATATTTTTGTAGTTGTTAATGTCGAATGAATACCATGTTTTAGTCGTTGCCAGATACAAAGGTTTTGCTGTTGTCGTTTGAGATTATCATAGTCTAAAAACAGAGTAGGGGCCATTTATCAAACGCTTACTCGGGTAAGTGAACATCAAGTCATATTACTTTACCGGATGAATATGCTAATGATTAAGAATCTTACCCGGTAAGAGCGAGACAAGGACCAAGAGTCTTACCACGGTAAATGCTTACTGGGTAAATTGTTGCATACGATACCGTGTTGGTGGATTAGAATCTTATCCGGTGAGTGAATAATAGTGTTAAATTTTACCCGTAAACGCTTACCAGATAAGTATTTGGTAAACAACCCTTAAATCTATGGTCATTTGCTTACAAACGTTACTCTCTTTTAATTCCTTATAGCATCCACATTCAAAGTTTCTCTGTTGGGGTATTTACAAGAACCTCTGCTTTGGTTCTGAGTCACATATGCTTGAACAAAAATCCAAATTCTTGTATACATTTTGTTTTTGTTATCTTTATTATTTCTCTAACATTTTATTTTCTTTTTATAAATCCATAAAACATATGAGTTAAAACTGATTTAAAAAAATGTATATTATTATTATAAAATAATTTTTTAATTTTGTTTTATTTTTCGTTTCTTGTAAATTTTTATACAAGATTTTGTTTTAGTAAGTTTAAATTTTTTATTACCTTATATTATTTTGTTGAAGAGGTAGATAATTCAACACAAATATTTTAAGGTTCAACCATGAATTCTAAGAATGTTTTCAACGAAATTCTGAGATGCGTTCAAATGAAATTCATTATCAACTCCGCTTCGATTCGGTTGAACATATATAGTCGATTCGAGATTGCGAGTGATACATACTGCAATTTATTATTTAGTCTAACTTTCTATCTATACTATATTATAAATCATTTGACAAAAACTCTTAAAAACCATTTTTTATGTGTGAAGTACTGTTTATTGAAGCATATTACTTAAAATTCAAGATTACAAGTAATTTTGCGTAAGTACAACTTATTAAAGCTCTATTTTTAAATTCGTGTAACTAACTGCAGATAAACGTGATCAAATACATGATAAACATCCATTTTAGGGGGTGTTTGAGATTGCTTATTTAAAACAACTTATGCTTTTTTGTAAAAGTGTTTATTAACTTATGTGGTATTAAACTGAAGTTAAATAAAACAAGGTTAAAATTGTAAACTGGTAATAAACAGTTTTTCATAAGTCAGGACGGATTAACTTATCAAAAACAACTTATTACCGGTTTGGCACCGGTATAAGCAATTTTTTTTCTTATCCAAACACCATAAAACAGCTTATCACCGCTGCCAGATTGAAATAAGTTAAAAAACAGCTTTTATAAGCAATCCCAAACACCCCCTTAAGTATATAAAATCTAAAATATAATTAAGATAATCATTGAGTTCTAACATAATGTTTAATTATTATCTTTATAAAAAAATTATATTATTAAATCAAAAATAAATTACTTTGTTATTAAATCTAAATTAAATTATAATAAAAATTGTAAAGAAGTTTCACAAAAAAATGAGAATTATTGGATAGTTAATTTGATACTAATATCGATTGTTATCTTTAAATTTATATTTCTTTCAAAAATAAAAACATTATCGCTTTCTTAAAATCATATAAAACTAAACATTAAAATGGAGATTTATCTCGTTGCATTACGCGAGTACCCTTCTAGTAAAAATTAATATTGTGTAATTTTGCACTTACTTTAATTGTAGTATAAAATTATGTTTATATTTTACTTATTTTTCGAATATATTAACAAAATATATAAATTAACAAATTAAAATTAGATTTAATTATCGATTTGGTCCCTATAGTTTGGTGGTTTTTACAAAAGTGATCCCTCGAATAAAGACAAAAAAAGACCAAAATGCCTCAAGGTTAATCGAGGAACTAGATGGCCGTTAGAAAGAGAGACCAATTCGTTACAAAATGACATACATCAAGTCTTAATCTGTAATAAATACAGTTCAGGGACCATTTTCATATACACCACATGGACCAAATCCATAATTAGATCTTAAAAGTAATATAGAGTGAAAATTAATAAATTATATTTGAATTTTTTTATAATTTTTTCAATATATATATATATAAATTAAATTTATATACTAATCTATAAATAAAATTACATTTTTATAAATTAAAGAAATAGAAAGTGGGGTTTTCGTAAGAACCTCCACTGTGGAGTTTTATTGAAATTTTTACTTTGTTAAAATACAGTAATATGGCAGGAAAAAAAATATGACAAATGAGGTTCCTAGGAGTTCCATCACTGTGAATGCTCTTATATTTATGTTCTTATAGCTAAATTTTTATTAATCATATATTTATGTTATTATAGTTATAGTTGGATCCAGGGCTGATCCAATGATTTTGGATGTCCTTGATGGAGAGCTAAAAAATGCCCCAAATCCAATGAACCAATAAACACAAAGAATTTTTAAGGGGTTTAGAATATAATCAAGCAAGGCGACTCATTCCAAAGCCGATTACTATTGGAAAAAAAAGTTACCCACAGGGGGACATCCAAAACCCTGAACAACAAAACAAAGATACGATTACCTATAACAGTGTCTTCATGCATTTCGTGAAGAATAATCTTTAATTAATCTATCATAGTCAACATTTGCTAAGAACTTACTTTAAACGCTCAAAATTACTAACTCATTAAGCCTATCTTAACTCATGGACCATGGTAGTCCACAAATATGATTTTCAATAACTTTAATTTTGAAAACCTTCTTTCGACGGATGCTACCGTGACTGGGATTGTTAACAAAATCTTGTAGGCAAGCAACAAATGTGGGAACATATCCACCTTCCTTACAAGCTCCATAACTTGAATAGACGTCTAAGGCTTTTCTTTCCCGTATGCTTCATATGGTATCATGCCTTGCAAAAATTTGTAACTCTGTGTAAAGATATTTCCCATCAATATCAACATCATCACCATGTGTCAAAGCAACCTCAAAATTCAAACAACATTTTTTTTAATTCGTCATCTTTTAAGTTAACCAACTTTGATGCATCAAACAAGAACCCAAATATACACTCAAAATGTTTCATCTGTTCAAATCTACTTCTTAACTGAGAAAGTGTCATGTCAACTAAAACTAGAAAGTAATAAGTTCTAAATGATTCTTGTACAAATTGTTGCTCTCTTTCACTATTTGGGATCTCATCAAATTGTTTTTTTTTTCTACAAACATAACCTTTTACAAGAAATTCGAGTTCAACTCAAATATTTTCTGCAATTTCTTTACCTTCAATGATAGCGAAGTCAAACCCATTGTCCCTATACTTTTCAAAACATACAACCAATCCCTTTTTGAGTGTAACTTCTTACAAACCAAATTGATTCTATTAAGATTTCATACCAAATAACCAAACTTAAAATAAATTCAAAACTTGAAAGCTCACCATTTATCAAAGATTCAACATCTCTACACACTTTTCCATCTTTACATACATTGGTTAATTTTATCAAAACACTTTTTATTTGGCCAAATTGAGTTTTTATTTCTTTAACACTTTCAACATGGCTTTCCCAACGAAGTAGCACATATCACGCAAAACTAAATTAAAAAAAATCTATGACAAGAGTTTTTCATATCACACAAAACTAAATTAAAACAATGACATCCACGTGACATATAAAAAGCTCTAGGGTTTATATTAAGCAACCTTCTTTAAACACCTTGAAGCTTTCTTTTCATATTATCCCAATTATCATACCCCTGTCTTCGTACACAATTAATATCTAAATCAAGAGTTTTCAAAACATTTGTAGCACATCAAAAAGACCCTTACTAAATGTATCTTTTACGACCAAAAACTCCAAAAAGAACTCTTCTACTTTGATAGGAACACTCGACATATCTATACATCTTATAATCAAAGTCATCTGTTCTTTGTGACTTGCATCAGGAGTGCAATCAAGAATGACTAAAAAGTACTTTGCCTCTTTGATTTTTGCAATAATTGCACTTTTCACATAAAATGCCAGCACTTCAATCAACTCATCTGAATTTTATGACGAAGATAATGATGATGTGTTTCTTTTTCTTTAATCAAGTGAAAATGGTGTTGCCTGATAGAGTCAAACTTAGCAATCATATGAAGAATGCTTAAAAAGTTACCATTAGACTCTTCATAAGGTTTTTCATTTGATCCACGAAAAGCCAAATTATAATGTGCCAAACATTTCACAACAATAATTATTCGAATGAAAACTAGTTTTCAGTGAGTGGAATATTTCTTGATTAACTCTTGTCGGTCCTTGTCAATTATTTGATTCTTATCCAACCTCAATTTTAACTCATACCATGCTTTTAAATTAATCCAATGTTCAAAACTGTTTTCATGTAACGATAATGTATAACTAAGATATTTCCAATCATTAAGTCCTTCACTTGCTAATTGACTTTTTGATTGAGACCTTTTGAATAATTTGCAACAAAAGCAAAAAAATTTATTCGCATCTTTGGAGTAAACCAACCATTTGCGATCATGGCATTCACCATTTCGTAGTTTATGAATATAATGGGTATAAGGAAAATGTCTACTTTGTTCATCTTTTGGAAAAATGATGTTAGTTTCTCTAACAATCCCTTTTCTTTAAGCAAATCTTTCAATTTTGAATTTAAAGTATCCCAAACACGTGACCCAGAAATACTTAAAACAATATTAGGCTCATCAAAGTCATTAGAGTTAGAATTACCAACATGAGACTTATCAAGATGAGGCTCATCAACAAGATTTTCCACAAAGTTATTAGAATTGGGATCAACAACCTGTTCTTCAGCAACAAGGTTTTCCACGTTATCATTAGAACTAGCATTTTCAATGGGTTTTTCTCGTCTCACAAAATATTTATTTAGTGGTCCATGTAAAGATTGAGCAATTTATTGTTGTTTTTTTTTCTTTCTTTTTCTATTTTGAGCACTGGAAGGTTGCGATGTAGGAAACATTTTTAACCAAACCAAATTGTTCAAACAACTAAGCAAATCACCAAAAAATACAAATAAGGCCAGATTCAAGATTCAAGAAAATCGGGGCAAATATACCAAATATGCAAATATCTTAATAAGAATGATAACCTAAACCAAATATCCAGTTGCCCAAATAACCAGGTTGAACATCACCATATTGCAAACAACCGGATAAGTAAGTAGTACTAGATATTAGATAAGAATCAGAAGGAAAACATCTGTACTTGAATCAAATGGAAAATTGAACAGTGGGTCAATAAACTCAAATAAGATGGAAAACACCTGTACGACTGATAGGTAGGGAAGTAGGGTCATCAGAATACAACAACCGTGAACATTGATTAGTCTGAATAGTGAACTCGTGGTCGCTGGACTCAAATCAAACTGAGAGTGATGCGAGATTGGAAGCGTGACTGCGTGAAGCCAGAACCAAGAACAGAAGTCGTGAAACTCATGATCCATGGAATCATGAACGAAGTGAAGCCTCGTTTGGTTATTCAAGACAGGGAAGAAAGAGTGAGTCATGAAGCGATGATTAGGAAGTCGCCGATTCTTTTTCTAAAAAATAAAAAAAAAAATGAACCTATTATAGGCTAAAAGCATTTTGGGTTGTGATGCCCGGGTCAAATGCCTATGTCGCCCACTATATGGGCCGACCTTGGTGGAATTTTCCAATAAGAACGTTAAATATCGTTAGAAGGTAAGAATTAGAAGTTAACAGGATCGGTTTATAGTGAACCTATATGAATAATCTGTAACATCGGTTTACATATCATTTCAAATAGATTTTTTTTTTGGATTTTTCAATGATCCACACATGATTCATTCGTTAACCTTAACCTCTTGTAAGTTTTACCTACGTTCTTACTCTACTAAAATTTTTACAAACAATTAATATATGAAATATGATTTAAAAAACCATTATTTATATAAAGATTTTATTTTTTTAATAAAGGAACATTTTTTTCAAAATTTATTTTATTGTTAATAAATATAGTATAATATAATCTATACTATATTATAAATCATTTGACAAAAACTCTTAAAAATCATTTATTATGCATGAAGTATTATATATTGATGCATATTACTTAAAATTCAATATTACAAGTAAATTATGCATAAGTACAACTTTTTAAAGTTTCATGTTTCAATTTGTGTAACTAACTACGGATAAATATAATCAAATAGAAAATAAACATCTTATTTCAAAATATAAAAAATCTAAAATATAATTAAGATAATTATCGAGTTCAAAATAGTTAATTATTATCTTTCTAACAAAATTATATTATTAAACCAAATATAAATTACTTCGTTATTGAACCTAAAGTAAATTATAATAAAAAAATTGAATTAAAAAATTACACAAAAAATATGAATTTTAAATAGTTAATTTGATACTAATATCGATATAATTTTGTCAATTTTTTATGATATCTTCAAATTTATATTTTATTCCAAAATTAAAACATTATCGCCTTTTCAAAATCACATAAGACCATATTATAACATCGACTGAGATAAAGAATATAATGAAATATTAAAATCAAGATGTATCTCGTTGCATTGTGCGAGTACTTTTTTAGTATAATATAATATAAACCGATGAATTTTCATATTAATTAAATAAAGTTGAAATAGACCCCCTCTATTTTCAGGATTGGCCGTTAATTCTTTAAATCATCCACCTTTTTGCATCAACAAAATGGGTGTTTTCAATATATAAATTAATCGTTCTTCTTGGACGATTTCATCATTCAATTTTTCCTTTCCAACAACGATCGACTCATCATTAATTACTATTGAGATGGAATTATTGTTGGTTATTAGATGGATGATATGGTGGTCGTCGTTGGCGATAGTCTTAGAGTCGTCGACTTGCATTTCTCACAATTTCTCTGCAATTTTTATATTTGGCGACTCGTTAGCCGATGTGGGTAACAACAACTACATCCGAACCATAGCCAAGGCTAATTTCAAGCCAATCGGTATTGATTTTGGGAAGCCGACAGGACGATTCACCAATGGAAGAACTGTTGATGACATTTTAGGTATCCATTATTTATTCTTTTATTATTATGTATTCTGAAAAGGTTGAAATAAAATGACAAAAAAACGTTAAGAATGTGAATAAGTGATTCATATATGAATCGTTATTAAACCCGAAAAAAGTCCATTTAAAGATACGTATGTGAATATACGTTTTTTTATCAACGATTCACATATGAATTATTTGTTCTTACATTCTCAATCTTTTTTGTTTTTTTTTATTTGAACCTGTGTGTATACTTATATATCGTTTTAGTTGTTCTTACCTAACTTGTGTTAATTTCCACAGGACAATGGTTGGGTTTTAAAGATTTTACTCCACCATACCTGGCTCCGACCACCGTTGGTTCCGTCGTTCTGCGAGGCGTCAATTACGCTTCTGGTGCTAGTGGAATTCTAAAGGCATCGGGAGCAAACTATGTGAGCCCACTTACGAATTCTATATATGGCGTCAATAGAACATCGGTTTTATAGAAAGTTTATAGTGTTTTAACAAGACTTAAGTTTATAGGAATAAACAATTATGTGCGTAAGTAGTCGGTCAGGTAAAACTGACCAACCGATAATGCTAAAAAATATTGTAATAAATTCATACTAGGTTTTCTCGGAGTCTTTACAAAAAGATTTAAGACATTTTTGAAATAAAGCATTTCATTGATTTTTTATTGACAATATTTGAAAAAGCGTATTATAAAGATAAATGTTCTATAAAAAGATATGCTTATAAGATATTATCTCAAAAATGTCTTTCAAAAAAAGCTAATACGACACTTCAATTTTCTTTTCATTAAAGGTCGGCAGAATCGCCATGGATGAACAACTCGACAACTTCAAACAGACTAGGGTCGATATAATCTCAAGGATCGGCGCTCCAGGTGCACACGAGCTGTTTGCTACCGCTCTTTTCGAAGTATCAACGGGTTCAAACGATTTCATCAATAATTACCTTCTAACAGATGTTTCTGAAAGCCCAGAATCTCCGGAAACTTTCATTGGAATCTTGATTTCAGCCTTTAGAAGGCAACTTACGGTAGAGTTATGCGATTACTCGGTATATAATCTTGTACAAAATTGTTTGAATTTGCAATAGTTTTGTTTTTTTACAGAGACTTTATGATATGGGTGGTCGAAAGATCGTTGTTGCGAATATTCCCCCAATCGGATGTTGCCCGTATGTAAGGGATCATTTAAAGTACCCATCTTCTGGTGAAGGATGTGTAGCTTTTCCAAATCTCTTAGCTCGAAAATACAATCACCAGTTGAAACAAACACTCGTAGAACTTACTTCCTCACTCGAAGGATCGACATTTGTTTATGCGGACGTGTATCGGATTCTTGATGATATCATTCATAACTATACATCATACGGTGAGTAAATGGTGACCAAAAGAAAAATGTACCCTTCTTAATTGATCAAACTATACTTTTTCAATAAGCTTAAAAGATAATTGATCTGATTGTATTTTAATGGATTGTGGCATGTCTTGTTCTTGTTATAGGTTTCAAATTCGCGGATCGTGGTTGTTGTAGCATTCTCGGTCGTCATGGTGGTCTTGTTCCATGTTTGCCGTTCACTAGGGTTTGCCCAGATAGATCAAAGTACATTTTCTGGGATTGTTTTCATTCTACTGAAGCTGCTAATATGATCATAGCAAAACGTTTTTTGGATGGAGATTCTATGGATATTTCGCCAATTAACATACGAGAGCTTTCTGAAACTTGAAACATAAAAGGAATTTGCAGATGGTTGGATTAATAAATTGGCTACAAGTTTAAAGTCGCGATTTTGTCGATTTGTTTTACTCGAATGAACAAGTGTAAGAACATAAAATTCGTATGTATTGTTGATGTATTTCATGATCAAATTTGGAAATTTAAGAAGAAAACAATAACACTATGTTGTATTTAATGTTTGATCATTCATTCAACTATTGACATTTAGAATAACATAATACCCAACAATAAATGAAAATACAGAAAATCAACACATCAACTGTATATAATAAATGCTCAAACCAACAATCTGTGTTTCATTTTTTGGGACTTTATTTTGTGAATGTTGTTTACTGAGGGGTGTTTGTGATTGCTTATTTGAAACGACTTATGTGTTTTTACAAAAGTGCTTATCAACTTATTATAAGTTAGAATGGTTTAACTTATTCAAAAACTTCTTATTACTGGTTTAATACCGGTATAATCCAAACACTAAAAAATGCTTATTACCGCCGCCACACCGGAATAAGTCAGTAAGTTGTTTTTATAAGCAACCTCAAACACCCCCATAGTCGGTTGGTAGTAGTACCAAATATGTAAACTTGGTTGATACACGATATTGGAAGTCACGTACCATGAGAGTATCGTGACAGAGACTTATTTCAATTATTTATTAATTAAGTTAATTAACTATAAACGTAGTTATTGATTATTAAGTTTTGTATTATCGACCTTCTTCTTTGGGTATTTCAATGTTTGAAAGTTTTACTCATTGCAATTAAAAAAATTTAAACATCAATATGTATTACTTGCAAATTCCAAATTTCTTCTCAAAATGTGAACAAAAGGACAAGTTTTTCATATATGTGACCTAAAATTGGTACAAAAAGTTGTTTCATAAGTACTAGCAAAAAAAGTCGGTACCAAGTACAGTTGGTTGGTATAGATATAAAATTTTACGTACAAACTATAATTGGTAGGTACATGATATTGATGAATGCCAAGTCACCTCTAAAGATAAGTAGAGAAAGTTTCAAATACAAACCTGTACATGTTACAAACTTTTAGGAAACAAATGAAATATTTAAAGAAGATGGTCAATGTTTATTTAGGGGGTGTTTGAGATTGCTTATAAAAACAACTTATTGATTTATTCCGGTATGGTAGCAGTAAAAAACACTTTTAAGTGTTTGGATAAACAACTTATATCGGTGCCAAACCGGTAATAAGTAGTTTTTGAAAAAGTTAAACTATTATGACTTATAATAAGTTGATAAATGTTTTTGTAGAAAAACATAAGTTGTTTCGAATAAGCAATTCCAAACACCCCTTTATTAAATTAACAATTAAAATTGATTTATGTGAGTTGTAACATTTATATACAACTCCCTTCAAAATGGGTATGAGATATATGACTTATATTATTTTATCATATTAAAAATATAAACTAAATATTTGTCATTTTGATGAACATCACAATTAGGGCAGTTTTGGACAGAATTTTTTTAAATGATTGAGAATTTGAGATTGATATTTTTACAATCCCAACTTAATTTTGGACAGAATTTTTTAAAAACAAAAATTTATGTTTCCAATTTTCTTTAATTTTTTCAACTGATCATTTATGACGAGTTTCCCAGAGAAACAGAAACAGTATGTGCTGTTCTTGTGATATAGACTTGTTAGTAGAAGGGAATGGGCTGCGAACCTGTAGAATTAATTCTCACGGATTTGATGCCGAGCTTGCAGGGTATTTAATGCCGCTCATCTCTGTATCTCCCTAACCACTCATTTCTTTCTGCTCTGCTCCCCATTAATCAAACAAATCTATATAATGGTATGTGTTTCTTTTCTATTTTCTCATTGGTTTACGTCTGAATAGCATACATAGAACAAGAATAATTTGTGAAGTTTTTGTTTTGATCGTTGACCACCCTTACGCAGACCAAGTGTTTGATAAATGGTCCAAGTGAACCCCATTCATGCTCCTTTTTTGTTTCGTGACTTCTTAACAGCCTGAAGCCTTTGAAAACTAATCTTTATTGTTAATGAAAAAAGTTTACAATTCTTTGATTTGATATACACTTGGTTGGTTTCCTAACATTTTAAGTTCCATTTCAGACTGTCTATTCCTGTACTAATTGCTAGTTTTGTTTCGAGTTTTAGTGTTCCACACAGACTTACCCATTTCTTGGTTTATTATCTTTGTTAATGATGAAACTAATAGGTTGCCTCCGATCTGAAAAAGATGTGGTTAAGGTTGTTTTTAGAACCTTAACTGTCTTTCTCTGGTTAAGGACTTGCATGGCAGAAACATTTTCTGCTAACTTTGTTTTTGGCGATTCATTGGTCGAAGTGGGAAACAATAACTACATCACATCTCTATCTAAGGCGAATTATGTACCCAATGGGATTGACTTTGGGATGCCCACCGGACGATATACAAATGGAAGAACAATAGTAGATATTCTAGGCAAGTGACTTGTCCATTTTTCTGGGATTATGACCCCATAAAAATTGCAAGGATTTCATATGGAAGTTACAACTTCTCTCATTGGTCTTTTTTAGCTGAATTACCTATTTACTATAGTTATCGCTGCAAATTATTGATATTAGTTGTTTTTAGTTGAGCTTTTGTGTCAAATTTACAACTTTCAATGGATGGAGAGTACGTGTTTACATTGTTGTGACTTCTATTCTTTGTGTTCTCAGGACAGGAAGTGGGTTTCAAGGATTATACTCCGCCATTCCTGGCTCCAACCACCGTTGGCCCACTGGTCCTTCAGGGTGTTAATTATGCATCTGGTGGTGGAGGGATTCTAAATCACACCGGAAAGATCTTTGTAAGTTTTTGTTTTTTAAAAATCTGGTTTTTTTTTTTCAAGTTCTTATCCATCAAAATTGTTTATATTACAAAGTTCTTGTTTCAAAGTCCCTCTTCTACTGAAAATAAAGGATAGCATCCGACTTTCAAGGTCAAACTTATTCTCTTTGTCCCAATCGCATGAACATTGCATCAAAACAAGGAATCTTGCTACTTAAACGTTAATTAAAGCTAAATCAATAATTTTAACTGATTGCAAGTTTATAACAGACATGCATCATTTTAACTTAATGATTTGCCAAAAGAGAAAATGAAATGTTGTGCTTTTCATTTAGGGTGCGGGTAGTTATGCTTCTAGATCAAAACTAATACAGATCATGCTAGTAGTTTAACACAGGTATCATCTATGCTCTAGCATTCGCCATAAAGATTATTATAGTGATCAAATTTTCTGATGATTTCAAGAATTTATAGAGGCATTAAAGTTGAATATCGGTCTGTTTGAAACTTTGACCTAGAAATCAAACTCCTGTTGTTTTATACTAAGAATCTCACTACTTCAAGCATGTCATGGTTCAAAATATGATGTTGTATTATCTTTATAGGTTGGCAGGATCAATTTGGATGCACAACTCGACAACTTTGCTAATACTAGGCAGGATATAATATCTGGAATCGGTTTTCCTGCAGCACAGAATCTGTTGAATCGAGCTCTCTTTTCAGTGACGATAGGTTCAAATGATTTTATAAACAACTACCTCACACCCATTGTTTCGACAATTGAGCAAAAACTAATAACTCCAGAAGCATTCGTGGGAACCATGATTGCAAGATTCAGACTCCAACTTACGGTAATGTCACACAACCCAACACCATAACCATGTCATGAAAATAATTACTATTTCCATTCATTTATTAATCTTAAAGATGATACCCAATTTCATTTTTTCGGATTTCTTGATTTGTTTAGATCCGCAGACTCTGTGATGGGATTGATGAAAGATTGTATAAAGAAAATCTTTACCAAAAGATTTTTTTTATTTCTTGATTGATTTGTCTCCATTTTAAGCTAGAAAGATTGTATATAAAGGAACTTAGCGTATAAGTTTTTTTTTTTCCAGTTTCTTGATTGATTTGTGTGCAGACTCCAGAGACTTATATGGGTGCTAGTTAGATTCTATCTTAGAGATCTTGCCCAAAAAGTTATTCAATTTCTTGATTAATTTATATCCAGACTCTGATATGGGTGCTAGAAAGATCTTGCCTAAAATTTCATTTTTTTTCTGATTTCTTGATTGATTTGTATCCAAAGACTCGTATGGATGCTAATGTTCTTATCGAGAAGTTCCTTGATATATTTTGTCAAGAGACTCTCTAGTCTCTGATACCGGTGCAGTACTGCTGGAAAGATTTTAACTAAAAGTTGTTGGTTTTTCAAGATTTTGATTGCTTTGTATCCAAGGAATCTATAATATGTGTGCTAGAAAACTTGAATCTAAACCATCTTATAGCTAAAACTAAAACTTTTTTCTGATCTGTTGGTTGATTTATATCCAGAGACTGTATGATATGGGTGCTAGAAAGATCGTCATCCCTAATGTGGGACCTATCGGATGCATTCCGTATCAGAGGGATACAACTCCATCTGCAGGAGACGACTGTGTACCTCTGCCGAATCACCTAGCCCAACTCTTCAATTCCCAATTGAAAGCTTTACTCCAAGACCTTACCATCTCACTCCAAGGTTCAACATTCGTTTTTGCAGATGTGTATCATATTGTTGCTGATATCATTCAGAATTATGAATCATATGGTAAGTAAACCTATTCCTTTTCGATACTAAGGAGCCGTTTACCAAACACTTAACCGGGTAATCTTATCCACTAAGAGCAAAGGCAAGGACCGAAAGTCTTATCCGGCAAGTGTCGGTGACGACTTTTACCACGGTTAGCGCTTACCGGGTAAATTGTTGCATTTGATACCATTTTGGTGGACTACAATTTACCCGGTAAGTAAGTGACGGTGTTGAATTTTGTCGGTAAGCATTTGGTAAAAGGATCCTAAGATTAATCTGGATATGGGGTTTTCCATATTAAGCAATTGAAGAGCTGTTTGCATCTTGCATCCCATGGGTTTAAGGGAATGTTTTTTTTTTTTTTTTTTTGGAGTATATAATATTTATATACGTTAATAAAATAAATAAACTCACATATCCTCTTCACCTTTGGTGAGGTTTGAACCCTTGACCTCCTAAAAGGCCAAGGACTCACATACTGCTAGGCCAAAGACCCTTTGGTTTAAGGGAATGTGTTTGTGGTAATAGGTTTTGACAATGCGGATTCTGCGTGTTGTTACGTGACTGGCGGACACGGTGGTTTAGTGCCATGTGGACCGACATCTAAAGTGTGCCCCGATAGATCAAAGTACGTTTTTTGGGACCCGTATCATCCTTCGGATGCCACCAACGCCATCATAGCCAAGCGACTTATGGATGGAGGCATTGAAGATATTTCCCCATTAAACATAAGAGCCCTTTTAGAATCTTGAAGAAAAGTCAGGTGTAGAATTGTATCGGTTATGTATCAGCGTTCTAACAAAAATACTCGTATGTATTAAAAACCCTATTTTCGACACATCATTTCCTCGAAACTTTTATCTTTTTGTAACACATTCAAAATCATAAATGTATTTCTATTTTTCTATTTATGTTAATGGAAAAAGTTAACGGCGGTTAGAAGGAGGGACAAAATCCGTTGGGAATCGACAAACGTGAGAGACAGATTCGAAGAAAGTGAAGTTGAGGGATGAAACTGTCAAAAGTGACAAATATTAGGGACCAAAAGTGAACTTTACTAGAGGGCAAATTGGGTAATGCACTTTGCTTTGATTCCTATTTTGGGTTATATACTTTCAAAACTTTCGTTTTGATATCTAAGATGTAAAGTTTTAAGCATTTCAAATATTCGGTACCAAATCAACAGTTTTGAAAGTACGTTACTCAAAATAGAAATCAAAGTAAAATACATTACTTTTTAATACAATTTACGGTAGTTATTCAATTTAACCATTTACTTTTTAATTATGATACAAGCCTTTGTAACTAACGTATTAGTTGTACATGAGTAAAAATATAAGACGTATTGTTTTATAAAATTCATCAAGATTTTTGTTAATATCCTTAAAATGATAACCTTTATGAACTTATAAATATTTACTTCTATCTTTAACGTTATCACAATTCAAGATGTTTGTTCACATATCTTGAAATTTAAATTTGTTGGTTTTAGTAAGAATTTTAATTCCATTTCATTCAAAGGCCTCGTTCGGTTCGTGAAATTCGAAAGAATTTGATTGAATTGGAATGACAAATTTCTTTGACCAAATTACAATTCCTTTGTTTGGTTCATTTTCTTGAAATAGATGGAGAGAAAAATGTTTGACAAATATTACAATTCCTTGAAATTTGGTTTATTTTCAAATCTTGGATTGTGATTTAAGTTGGTTGTCCCACATCGATGGAGAAAAAAATGTTTGACAAATATTATTAATTATAAAAGGAAGAGATGATGAATTGAAATGTGAAATGTTTGGGTTGGTTAAATGTAAATTTGAACCAGCTTTCTTTTCCAAAAACAATATTTGTTTAAAAATATATAGTTGGCTCATTTTGGCCGAATCGGTTTAAAAAACGAGTTGTTTAAGTTCTCACATTAATAGAGTAATGTTTGACAAATATTAGTGAATATATAAAAAGAAGAGATAATAAAGTGAAATTTGAAATACTTGGGTTGGTTAAATATGACTTTTAGCCACCTTATTTTATTAAATTCACGTTGCTGACTTATTTTGGCCGATTCTCCGAGCTCATGGGGTTGACTTATTTTGGCCAACCATCTTTTAGCAAAAAAATGTTAACTATTCAAAATAAAAAATAAAAAAATCTTTATTAGATTTAAGTATTTTAAAATCTTGAAGTATGTTGTAATTTTGGTTATCTTTTGCCAACTACCTTTTACAGTTTCTTTTTGTTAAGTCGACATATGAAATGATATTATAAGATTTAAGTATTTTTTTTTGAATTGTGGTATGATTTTTGTTATCTTACAAGTATGAGAAGATGATTGAATGCACAATATATATGGTATACTAAAAGAGTGTATTTCTTTAAAAAATTAGTTGACTGGAATATAATTTTTGACCGACCCTCCTTTTGCAAAAAGAATATATGTACACACACAAATTATTTAATTAAATATAAAAATAGCATAATGTTGACAAATATCAGTAGTGAAAACTATAGTTTATAACATACTTTTTGGAGGGATCTTTCTACGTAAAGATGTATATCTATATATGTATACATATAAAATGAAGAGTAGGACATGAAGCAGTATTATCAGATTTAAGTATAAAAGATATTCAATTGTGATGTTGTTTTCGTTATTCATATTGATTGAAAAAATGATAGATTAAAGGTCATTATATATAAAAGAAAAATAATAAATGTATGAAATATATTATGATATTTTATTTAAAATATTCATTAAAATCAAATGTCACTTTATTTTTACATAAATTTGTATCATCATATAACGTACGATGTCGAACATTAATCCTTCTTTTACTAAAATCTCATTTTTAATTTCTCACCTTCCTTCATTTGACAATTTGCATCCTTGATCAACCCTTGATATATCTAGTTTTTGATGTCATTATTATTACAAAATTTCCTAAATTGGGATGTTACAACTGAAATGGAATTCAATAAAATTTGAATATTGATAAAAACCGGAATGAAGTCTATGTAATGAGTTGAAATCTACATATTTGGTTGGTGGAATATAGTTTCATAACACTACTTGAAACTTGGGTATTTACGGCGGAAATTTCGACGGAAATCTCTGCCAGAAATTTATCGGCGGATTTGCGACAGACAACAAGAAAGTCAACTTTTGTTGACTTCTGCCGGAAAATCGCCGGTTATATCTTCCAACGCTATTTCCGACGGATTTACAAATGCAATTTTTACGAAATAAGTAACTCTGATTACATAACTTACCCACGGATTTCCGATGGATTTTTGATTAATTTTTTAAATTAATGTCCGCTGGAAAATAATTACAAATTATAATTTATTATTTCAAATTTGCGGCGGATTTCTGGCGGATGTCGGTGGCCGCGGTAAATTAAAATAATCAATTATTCAGGATTTTTAAAATTAAATATTATTGATATCCAGCGGACATTTTCCGGCGAACAACTTTCCAACGGATTTTTATATTTTCTTTTTCGTTTTTCATACTTTTAGTTATATATATATATATATATATATATATGTAAAATATTGCATATATTTCTACATGGAATGTATAGTGGATAATAATTCTCTTATCAAGTCAAACACACATACATGTATGCAACACATACCTGTATACAAACACATTATCCAATGTCATTGTTCTTATTGGAATTTAAAAACTATTACAAAAGTTTGATTTGGGTATAAAGGGTCTTAGTTGAGGACAATACACACCACATGCTCATATACAATACATGTTTTCTCACAAACACAAATTACGGTTTAATAGATTTTAGTTGGACTTTAATGGTTCTATTGTGCTTTTATGGTTCTTATCGAGTTTTTACAAGATTTATTGGTCTTTAATGGATCTATTAGGCTTCAATGGATGTTAGTTGGGCTTTAACAGATATATTGGGCTTTAATGGATGTTAGTTGAGTTTTAACGGTCGTATTGGGCTTCAATGAATGTTAGTCCAACTTTAACAGTTCTACTGGGCTTTGAAAAATGTTAGTTGGGCTTTAGTGGTTCTATTGGGCTTCAATGAATGTTAGTCGGGCTTTAACAGTTCTACNTTAGTTGGGCTTTAGTGGTTCTATTGGGCTTCAATGAATGTTAGTCGGGCTTTAACAGTTCTACTGGGCTTTGAAAAATGTTAGTTGGGCTTTAGCGGTTCTATTGGGCTTTAATGGATGTTAGTTGGGCTCTAACGGTTGATTTGGGCTTTAATGGATGTTAGTCGGGCTTTAACAGTTCTATTGGGCTTCAATGGATGTTAGTTGGGCTTTAATGGTTCTATTGGACTTTAATAGATGTTAGTTGTCATTTAACGGTTCTATTGGGCTTTAATGAATGTTAATTGGTCTTTAACCGTTCTATTGGGCTTCAATAGATGTTAGTTGGGCTTTAACGGTTCTATTGGGATTCAATGAATGTTAGTTGAGTTTTAACGGTCGTATTGGGCTTCAAAGGATGTTAGATGGGCTTTAACAGTCGTATTGGGCTTCAATGGATGTTAGTTGGGCTTTAACGTTTCTATTGGGATTCAATGGATGTTAGTTGGGCTTTAATAGTTAATGTTAGTTATTGGGCTTCAATGAATGCTAGTTGGGCTTTAACGGTCGTATTGGGCTTTAATGGATGTTAATTGGGCCTTAACGGTTCTATTAGGTTTCACTGGATGTTAGTCGGGTTTTAACGGTTCTATTGGGATTTAATGGATATATTGGACTTTATTTGGTCGTATTGGACTTCAATGGATCTATTGGACTTTAATGAATGTTAGTTGGGCTTTAACGATTCTATTGGGCTTTAATGGATGTTAGTTGGACTTTAACGGTTCTATGAGCTTCAACGGATATTAGTTGGCCTTTAACGATTCTATTGGACTTTAATTGATGATGATGATGATGATGAAAAAACCGGCAGATTAACGGCAGAAATATCCGTCGGAAAACAAAAATTTCGAAATTTTCATGAAAACTGGTTATTTTTTTTTATTAAAACAATACCTACTTCCTCACTAGCCGTTGTTTCTGTTTTGCATACCACACGAAGACGATTTCCATCCGACGATTTCCAACAACGAGAGATGTAAATTCCCTGTCGACGATTTCCATCCAACAAATTCGACCATTTCGACGATTTTGATCCATAAACTCAAATCAACAGTCGGCGACCTCCACCCCTACCACCCCTTGCTACCGACCTCCTCTCCTTCCTTCCCCTTCGCTGGTATGTATGCATATATGTATGTATATACGTACGTATATATTTCTTTATGTATAGGTTTGACTTAAAATGTCAAAGTGTTGTTTTCCGTATATATATATATATATAGAGGAGCGTTCAAATAAAAACAACACCCCTTTGTGTAAACCGTGTAAACCAATCTCATCCATCCATTTTCTTGATCAATGGCTTAAATTACTTTACTTTATTTTCGGAAATTAAAATTAAAAAATAATTAATATTTATTTTATTTCATAAATAATGGTAGAATTGGTAAACAAAGTTAACATTTTGTAACTCCTCGATTCCTTTTCCGATTCAATCATACTATTTTAATGTTAACATTTTTTAAAATWATATCCATCAATAAGTTATATCAAAATCAAAACACAACATATTCACTATAATGAATCATTTCATTAAAAATTAAAATAAATGATCATATTTCGTTTTTTTTTTTAATTTACTTGTAGACGGATTCGTTACATTTCATGTTTAATGCGCTTATTAAATTTTATGATTATGCAATATCTAGTTTCATTATCCTCATTTGATATTGAACCTCATTCATTTTTTGCAATGATGAATCGATTTTTTCTATGCACCGGTTTCATTTAGCATTTCATCTACTTAACCATTCACCTCCACCATCATTGTTCATGTCTTAAAGCGGTTCATGACTAACTGTTCAATTACATTATGAACCCGTTTCATTGTCATTAACACGTTACATCCACTGAACATACCCCTTACATAATCCTACAACGTGGTTGGCCATGAAACGAGTTCAACAATCATTAACCAATGCAACATGGATCACCATGAAACTTGAACATGAATATGTTTCATCATCATGACATGAGTGCATGAACATGTACAATATATTATGCACCCGTTTCATCATAATGAAACATTTTCATTATGCATATTAATATATTATGCACCCGTTTCATCATAATGAAACATTTTCATTATGCATATTAATATATTACGCATCCGTTTCATCATAATGAAACATTTTCATATGAACATTAATATATTATGCACTGGTTTCATCCTACCAATTAAACGTATCAACTTCACACACAAAGAAACATGGATCACCATGAAACTAGATGTACATTAAATCACAAAGCAACATGTATCACAATCAACATGGATCACCATAAAACTTTAATCACAAAGCACCTATTTCATTAAAATGTAAAATATGCATAGATGTAGCAAATATACCATTGTACAATGAAACTTTTTTCACACATGAAACAGTTTCATGACCGGTAGTTTTTGATTCAATGAACCTCAAATCATGCGTTCATTCCATAACAAGATAGAATCTTCATAAAACTTTCCAGCTTCATTGAATCAAAAAAAATCAATTTTTAATATTATAATATATTAAAATCTTTAAATCATTCCATTTATATAATTTTCTTATTTAATATTCCTTAATAACTTCCTTATTTATGAAAAAATAATGAAAATGACCAAAATACCCTTATTGATTAAATTTAATTAAAAAAGAATGAAATTTTCCTATTGGTCGATTTTGGTTTACACGGTTTTTTAGAATGACATGGTTTTCATTTGAACCTGCCCCTATATATATATATTAATTAGAAAGTTACTCGCGCAGCAGCAAGATATATTTTGATTTTAATATTTTATTTTATTTTTTTATCTCATTCGATGTTATAGTATGGTCTTATGTGATTTTAAAAAAACGAAAATATTTTTATTTTTGGATAAAATATAAATTTGAAGATATCATAAAAATTTGACAAAAATATATCGATATTAGTATCAAATTAATTATTTAAAATTCCTATTTTTTGTAAATTTTTTATTCAATATTTTTATATTATAATTTAATTTAGTTTTAATAACGAAGTAATTTATATTTGGTTTAATAATATAATTTCTTATAGAGCAAAATGCACAAAATAGCAATCTACTTTCATAAATTTCTTTATTATAGCATTGTACTTCTAATTTTTCTTATTACAATAATGTACTTTCAAACTATTTTTCATTAAAATAGGGGGTTGCTAATGGCACCCCTTAGTAGGGGGGTGTTGATGCCATTGGAAATTGTACCAATCACCTTTTTCATAACCATCAATTCAATAATCATATATTTATATTTTATTAATTTTATTTTATTTTATATATTTATATTAGAAAAATATATATTATTTTATTATTTTTATGTTATTTTATTATTTACAAATTTTGGTTTTATATATTACAGTTTATTATATATTATTTACAAATTACAAGTTATGATGCATGAGGTACTATTTTTCTATGCATGAAATTTTAAAAGTTTTAATTATAATTCAAAAAGCCATTTGTACAAGTTAATATTTACTCTCCCAATGCACCTTCTTAAGATCCCACTCCTCTTGTCCTTTTCCTTTCTATTGTCTTTTCATTCCCCAATATCATTGTTCCCAAACTCATCTTCCCAGACGACTATTGAAGCCCCAATGCAATGATTTCAGATTCAAATCCATTATTAATAATTATATTAATTAAAATATAATATAAACAAATAAAAAAACAGAAAATAAAATGAATAATATATATTTATTAATAATTTATATAATATAAATAAATAAATAACAGAAAATAAAATAAATAATATATATTAATTAAAATTTTCTTTAAATAATAATAAAATAAAAAGTAATAATAACAAAAAGACAAAAAAACACAAAAAACCATAAAAAAAGTCATAATGAAGCCTACTTAGGGGTGCCATAAGTAAAAACTAGGGGTGCCATTAGTCACCCCTTAAAATATTGTATTTTGAAAAATTTACCTATTATAGCATTTGGGTAACCTTTTGATTTAAATTTACTTGTCATACCAGGTTTTCATACCACCTCATTGTCCACGTAGGCTGTTCACATGTATTATAGTGATTTGATTTTCTTATTGCAACATTGTACTTTTAAAATTATTTTATTATAATGTCTACTAGTTCTATTAAACAATTTACTTTTAATTTTAATATTTAGATATTTTACATGTTATTTAATAAATATATATTAAATTGATTAAAAAAGTCTAAATTATTCATTGATATACCAATATCAATAAAACTAGTAGAAGACAGCTTATCTCGCTAATATTTTTTGAAAAAAAGAGTTGTTTTTTTGAAAAAAAAAATAAGAATTGTTCTTTTTTTACCAAAAAAATATATTATCTTTTAAAAAATATATTATATTTATTCAAAAAAATTTACTTGATATATAAATATACTAAATTAATTAGATTTTTTTTGAATTATTTATTATAATAATATTAAAAATTGTAAAACACGATTTATTTCGTTGACATTTTAAAGCGAACTTTAAAAGATATGTATTTTTTTAACAACATAAAATAAGAAGTGTTATATTTTTTACAAAATAAATATCTCAAAGATAATGTAGATTTATTTAAGAAATATTTTACTCTAGAATATTTAATTTGCATGCAAATTAATAAGAAAAAGTCAAAAAAATTACAATGTTTTTTTAAATCATAGCAATGAAAAATGAAAATCACTAATAATAACTTGAAATAAGTTTTTATTTTTATTTTAATTAAGTCATCAAAATAACATGTCATCCACATCACCTCATTAAAGCCATATAAGCAAAAAACATCAAGGGGTTAAGGTAATAGGATACCCATTGCTATAATGGATAAATTTTTTAAAGTGAGATGTGTTAATAAAAAATAATTTGAAAGTACATTGATGTAATAAAGAAAAACAAAAGTAGAATTATAATACCCGTCAGATATGTATGTGTGTGTATATATATATATATCAGTGCAGGTTTAAAAATATATATCTATATATATATATATTATTGAAGTTTGGGTTAGTTTTGGAAGTTGACCAATCTTGAGGGGTTAATTCTGCATAAATCGCTTTAACTTTGCAATTAATGGGTTTGGGCTTTTGTTTGTAGATTAGGGTTTAACCTAACCCTAATTCCCCTTATTTAAACCTAACCCTAATCCTTTTTTAACCTAATTCCTCCCTAACCCTAATTCCTCTAATTGTGATAATCGTTAGAGAGAAACCCTAAGAGCTTGGAAGAATCCATCGATAACCTAGGAGGGAACCCGACGGCCAAAAGCAAGCAAGGTTCCATCGATTTCTTGTCGGTTTGAGGTAAGTTTTTGTCCTATTCTCGAATCAATACATTTAGTGGTTGGGTTATAAATTTTGGGATTGTTTAAGACTCGAAAGTCACCGATTCGGTCAATAATAATGGCGTCAACTAGGGGTTTGTCAAAATCATCTTTAAAACACAAAAATTCTTCTCTTTTTCTCTCGAATTTAATCCTATATGTGCTTAATGTTGGTGCATAGTATGGATATATATATATATATATATATATATATATATTGATAGGATTTAGTTGAGTTTAGTTACATTTGGTCGTTAAAGTGATTTAGTTTCATTATGCCATCAAGTTATCAGTTAGGATTGATAGTAAGTTTGGGTGTTTGTTTAGGGCATATATAAAGGAATAAATTTGGGGAATCGATAAGTTTTGTGAAGTTTAAGGTACGGATTCCTAAACTTTTTTTTGTTCAGTTAGCTCGTTTAAATATGCTTATGAATTCGTGAGTCTCGTTTAACTCATATTTATCCAAATTGTTCGTTATTGCATCTGCCATTCAATCGTATTTTTTTACGTCATGTATGTATATATATATATATATATATATATATATATATGGCAAGGACGTCTTGTTCTAATCATGTTATTTGAGTTATTCGAGTTAGTACACGTTTATTTGTTCGGTAACATTTTGGTATGCTTTTTACTTCTAAAAGTACATATGTTGGTACTTTTGATCGATTATGTATTGTTCGAATTGAGCATCTTTATATTACAACTACTTGTTATTCAACATAATTCATTACTTGACTTATGTTTGACTTTTCGTTTGACTTCGTTATTTATTGACCTTATGTAAGACGTATAACGTCACATTCGTTGTGACAACTCAACTCTGGGTAACTCGAGCTACTAACCACCTATGGAGGTACCATAGGCACATCATTGTGGCACCGATGGCGTGACACTAACCGTGGCAGTGTGATCAGTCCATGGCGTCTCCTCTTTTGGTGCTCTGTGAGAGCTATTTTGGTATGATGGATATTCGATTTAAGAGGCGTATGGATCGGCCCTAGCATATGTGATTCGTTTGTAGGGTGGATGTCGGTGTAGTGTCCAACGCCACATCTCACATTTGGTACGTGTGGATCTGCAGTCCAACGTACAGGCCTGTGTGGCCATATGTCTGACACTTGTCATCTTAGTTAATATGCAAATGTATACGTTTTCGAGCTCGATTTGTCCCTTCATATGATTTCGTATGATTATGTTATTTGTTGTTTTTCTAAGATTTTGGTACTCGTTTGGTTCAATTTTGGCATGTTTGTATTACCGTTTTTCTATATATGTTTATCCGTTCACTGGGCATTTGGCTCAGCCGTGTTTCTTTTTAATTCCCTCACGACAGGTAATCAAGGGGCGGCTAGGTTTTGTGAAAGAGAGTAGATCAGAATCTTGGTTCCAAGGATTTCAAGAGGTTTAGTGTTATGTTAATTCATTTATTGGATTTTGTTCCTTTCTGGCTATTAGATTAGATTTCTTTTAAAAGTTGCTTTTGGATTTTCCTTGGTTGTTGGAGGATTTTGGAAGTGGTTTGTTTGGAGACCTTTATATCTTATTTGGAGTTATATTCAATTTCGTTATTGGAAGATTTTATTTTAATTCTTTGTATTGGAGACTATATTTTGGAGGTTTTATATAACGGCTCCGTTACGTTTGAAACAACCTCCCTTCCTTCGGGTTGGGGGTGTTACAAGAATGATATAATAAGAAAATTTATGAATGTAGGTTGTTATTTCATGCATTTAACCCTTTCTTATAAAGATAATAATTAATTATTTTGTTAGAACTCGATAATTATCCTAATTATATTTTACATTTTTTATATTTTAAAATAAGATGTTTATCCTATAATTGGTTATGTTTATCTGCAGTTAGTTACGCGAATTCAAACATAGAGCTTTAATAAGTTGTACTAATGCATAATTTACTTGTAATCTTGAATTTTAAGTAATATGCATCAATAGACAGTACTTCATGCATAAAAAATGAGTTTTAAAAGTTTTTATCAAATGATTTATAATATAGTATAGATATGTGTGTGTATGTATATATTTCTGTATGGTTGGATTAAGTGATTTTTGCATGGGTATGATTTACATTGTATTAGTCACTTGGTACATATATGTATGTATGTATATAATTAACAGAATATATGGAAGCTGTTTTTTTTACTTGGATGCATGTATATATTTATGTTTTTTTTATTGTTGATAAAATATTTTGTAAATTCTAAATATATAAAAATAATATTATACTAGCCTTTAAATATATTATTATTAAATTTGTTTAAAGTATTAAAATATTTATGTGATTAATTGAAAGAAATACTTGTAGAAATCTTAAAATAAAAAATGATCAAGATTGAAATACTATGTTGATTTACGGGTAAAAAGTGTAAGTTTTGTTAAAATAATGAGAGTAGGGGGCTAGTTGTAAATGTCAAAAAATTTGGGGGCAGAATGTCATCTTCTTCAAAGGTGGGGGACTTGTTTTGCCCAACAGTACATGTCTGTTTGGAGAAAACGACTCCAAAGCCAAAAACTTGCGATTTGGTCAGATTTCGTGAACTAATAAGCCAAAACTCATGGGGTATAAATGTAGAGCATTGGCTTAGGATTGTTTTGATTTAAATAGTTTAGAAAATAAACAAATATTTGAGAGAGAAATATGAGTTTGAAGTTCGAGTTGAAAATATCGGTTTTCACCTATTTTAGCTGAGATTCTTAACCAAATCTCATGGTTTTTATGTCTATAGCTTCGTTTTTAAGTACTCTATCAAACCACAGTAGCCTCATATCTCAAATTTGCGTTTACATGGTTCGATTTTTATGTTTTGAAGTTGTTGAATTTTAGTTTTAAAAACAAAACTTTAAATGAGAAATAGAACTCATTTCTTGATGAAAATTTGTGTTATTTATGTCAAAGTGTTGGTAAAAATATCACCAAGGGTTTGGTGCAAAAATAATAAAGAAAAAAAGATCAAAAAACGAGACATTTTCGAGTTCAAAAATCTTAAAATCGTATGGCTATGGCTGTTGATTTTGTTGGGTTGAAACAAGGTTGGGTGGGTCAAGATTTGACCAATAACCCCCTCTTTGAAAAAAAGAAAGAAAGGGGTACCAGCTATTTGAGAAGCCAGGTTCGAACCCGCGACCTTAAAGTTGTGACACCAATGCTTTAACCAACCAAACTAATACGTCATAATCTTCTTATTTGCACTTTATTAACACGTCATAATCTTCTTATTTGCACTTTATTAACACGTCATAATCTTCTTATTCCATTATAATGCAGTTTCAAGTTTTAATAAATATCATTATAATCCTGGGATTGGACTTTTAAGCACTGTTTTAATATTCGACTTATGAAATGGACCAAGAATGTTCTAAATTAAGGAATTGGTTAAAACTATACATTTGGTGTCCGGCTTCTTAAGATTACCGAAACGCACCTAGACTTGGAAAATTGGTATTCTAAACATTATTTTGAGTATTAATTATGTAGAACTTTAAAGTTATAAATGACTGTTGTTTATATGTGTGTGACAGGTTGTCACCATTATTCACTTGCAAATTATAAAAGAGACGTTTTGACCATAAAACATTATTTACGTTGCACACTATTTAATTTAGCTATTTTGGTAAAATATTTATCGTTCAAAATATGTGGAGTGTATTGCACGTTTTTATAAAATGTACGAGGGTCAATTAATATTATAAAGACGTCATTATTAATAATATTTCATGAAAATATTTGAGCGAAATATGAGATATGATGGTATTGGGGGTTGATCAATAAAAATTGTTAAGATTGTTGGAGAATAATGATCAATTTAGTTACGATTGTCTAATTTGCTTTGGAATTGTATGAATTATCATGTAGGTTGCGATTTTCGAGAAAAATAACCTATCAACACTAACGATTTAAGGTGAGTATGTTATGCGATTTTTATGGCATATATACATGATTATCACAAAATATTTTATCCATGATATTTGCATGATGTGTTTATATGCATATGATGATAATTTGATTGTATTGATGTACATGATATTCAAGTATATACATGGTATGAAAGATGATGTTGATGAGAGATTATGATGATTTGATATTATTAATATGATATTCAAGTATGTGTATAATGTGAAAGATGACGATGATGCATATGTGATTTATGTTGTCACTTGCATGGAATGTATGTTGCATGTCACGATAAGATTTGCATTAATGAGTGAGTATTGCAAATAAATGATATGCAACTAGTCTAATTCGGCAAGATTCGTCCACCGTACGGGGTGGGTTGGACATGAAAGGTGGACTTGCAATTCTGAGGTCTTGGAGTCCTCGCCCATAGAATACGCCACATACGCAAAGAAAAGTGACGAGCCGAGGCCTCACTTGCAAGATAATAACTAAAATACATTAAAACACTGTTTATATGTGCATGTGAACATGAAACCATATTGTATTCACTAAGCTTTTAGCTGATACTATATATGTATATATCTCAGGTGCCAATTGTCATTAGACGAGTTGAATGAAGAAAGACGAGACTATGTTTTGAATCACGCTTGATTAGATATTTTAATTAGCATTGATTACGTTAAAGTATTTTACACTTCCGCAATTATGTAATGAATTATGTTAAACACATTATGTAAGTTCGAATTTTTAAGTTTGCATTTTATTCACAACATAAGTTATCAAGAATGACGTCACGACACTCGAAAGAGAAAAAAAAAATCAGGGCGTGACATATTTCCAATGAAATGAAACTTTTGTTAAATGTTAAGGGTTGTAGGGAATTGGCAATGGTAAGAGTTTAGTTGATTCATGCTTTCTTTGCTTAAGAGAATTAGCATGACTTGGTTAAAAGTTAATATTTAACATACCAATCAAAAAGCAGTAACATACCAAAACGAATTTAATTTAGGCTTTTGTAATTTTGAGGCTTTTGTAATTTTGATACTTGCAGTAGCAATCTATTCTATGCTTAGACTTGGAATATTGTATTGGATTAAAAGCCTCTATAATCATGATTAGGCTTTTATCACGAAATGTATGTATCATAACTAATATTTTCCAGTACTATCGAACGAAAATATAGACGAGGAATAATATTTCCTGGAAAATGATAGAATAACCTAAGCTGGGGGAAATGAAGATGTGCAAGAACACATCCATCTTGTCAAAGGGGAAGACGACATCGAAGTTGCCAATGATCATCGCGACAACTAGCATGTTGATGAGAGTAGTGACGAAGAAAAGGAGTTCCAAGACTTTGATAGTGATCTGACGATGAAGAAGTTGACTTGTCTGATCATTCTTCGGATGATTAAATTCTCGTGTTAATTTTAGTCTTAGTAAACTTTGTCTAGTTGTTTTAAGTCTTTATTGTTTCTATGTTTTAAATCTAGGCATGGGAATGGCCCCGACCTGTAGAGGAACCCGGTCCACCCGCTCCGATCGGGGACAGAGATTTTCTGCTAAATCGGGGATGGGGACAGGGATCCCCGTTCGTCTCAAACTGGGGACGGGTATCGTACTTCCCGTCCCGTCCCGTACCCGTTATATATATTAATTAATAAATTATATATATATATATACACACACACACACACACACACATATATATATATATATGTATATTATTTATTTCAACTAAAGCGGTAATTCATAATCTCCTATTTCCTAACTAGGTTTATAATCTAAAATTGTTATTTTTTGGATGTTAATATGTAATATTTTGGATGTCAAGTCAAAATACAATTACTCGATAAGTTTAGTATATTACTCGATATGATTTGTATTACTCAATATTTTTTGGTACATGTTACTTTAATTTTTTTTGGATTAAATTGAATTTTTTTTTTGTTTTAGGTTATTAATTCTTATATGATGTTGTGGTTTTTTGTATTAAATTAAATTAATTTTGGTTGTAAGTTTATTGAAAATATTTGAAATTTGAACATGTATGGTCTCTCACATATTTAATTTAAAATAACTTACATAAATGGAAAAAAAATCTTCGTTTTCCCTGTTGGGGATCCTCGTTCGCCATTGGGGATGGGGTTGATGTGATTATATTCCCCGGCGGGGATGGGGATGGGGACGGGGATACATATAAGTAATCGGGGATAGGGACGGGGATTGAGGTCCCCCGCCCCATCCCATCCCCACCCCACCCCACCCCATTCCCATGCCTATTTAAATATTTGTAAACTACTTGTAACACCCCGAATTTTTGTAAAGCATGTGTTTACATGTGCTTAGTTGTGTTTAAAAAAAAAAGGAATGCTTTATTTTTTTTAAATAAAGAATCCTCCTTTGTGATGTATGATAGGGTATGCATACATCTCTCTCTCTCTCTCTCGATATATATATATATATATATATGTATATATATATGTATAGATGATGATTAGAGAAGGAGTCCTTTTGATTTA